GAGGGAGAAGAGAGAGAGAAACATCGATGTGAGAGACACATTGACTGGTTCCCACCCACACGACCCCAATTGGGGCCGCGGATGAACTGCAACTGAGGTACGTGCCCTTGGCGGGAACAGAACCCAGGACTCTCTGGTCTGCAGGCCAATGCTCTAACCGCTGAGCCAAAACAGCCAGGACAAGTGCTTCATTATTATTTTTATTTTTTAAAAGATGTTTTTATTGATTTTTTAGAAAGAAAGGACAGGAGAGAGAGATAGAAACATCGACCGCTGCCTCCTGCACGCCCCTCACTGGGGATCAGGCCCACAACCTGGGCATGTGCCCTGACCGGGAATCGAACTGGCGACCTCTTGGTGCAGGGTCGACGCTCAACCACTGAGCCACACCGGCCGGGTGTCACCCTCGTGTGCTCACTACTGATCTTCCCCAGCTTCTCATTCCCAACAGGGATCTTCGGGCCATGATCTTTGCCATTTTTTTTATTCACGTCTTCTCATCTCCAGAATCGAGTTGATAGAATAAAAATATACTGGTTTATCAAGACTAACATACGACTAAAATCAGCATAATATTTCCCTTTGGGCCTCATGACAACAGTGTCACTGAAGTGTAAGCAGCAGTGTCACCGTATTTGGGGAACTATCGCTCCCTGGAAGGGACAGGGCGCCCTTCCCCCACACCTCGGCACATGGGCCAGGACGGGATTCCGAAGCGGCTGGAAGAGCGTTTCGGAAACCGTGAAGGTGACCCGATCTGGACCGATGAGCGCTGACGTACTCGGGAGACACCCTGACGCCTGTCTTGGCTCCGGGAAGCTACGCAAGTCGCGTGTCTTCTGCTCCCAGCTGGGGCTGCGTCACAAAGACCACAGACCAGGTGCCTGAGAAAGGGACACTCGTCCTCCACAGTCTGCAGACGGGAAGTCCAAGGTCAAGGTGCTGTCGGGTTTGATTTCTTCCGAGGGCCCTCTTCTCGGCTTGCAGACGGCCCTCCTCCCCCGGTGTCGCCTCCTCTCCGTATAAGGCACCTGTCCCGCCGAACGAGGGCCCTGCCGTATGACCTCACTTCACCTAAACGAGGCCCTCAGCACCTGCACCTGCAAATCCAGCCCCGCTGGGGCTTTGGGTTCAGCGCAGGAATTACACGGAGACACGATTCTGTCCGCGGCCACTCTGAACCATTATTCATTCGCAGTTAACTCAAGATGGTGTTCCCTGATAAATGCCCGCTGAGCAGAGGTCTGCGTTGCCCACTGGGGACAGAGCCATAACCTGGCATCAAACGACACCCAGTGCTGGATGGCACGCCTCACTGCACGCACGGCTGAGCGGACGACACCCCGCTCTGCGTGGTGAGGTGTGACCTGTCCGTGGGCCGAGCCAAGGTCCCCTTCCAGAGGCAAGACTGGGCCGCGCTAACGCACAGATGATTGGATAATCAAGTGCCCAAATGTTGTGCCTAATTGAAGAGCGAAGTTGGAAAAAATAGCCGAGAAACATGTTTAAATTATGCTAATGCCCGTTTCCATCCCCAGATGATCTTTGTAAATCAGGCACCAGATGTGTATCTTAGTCGCAGTAGTGACCGCAGAGTATCTGTCGTTAGTATCACCTAGTAGGTGGTATTCAGGCACATTTATAGGAGGGTAAATGGAGTCCACCTCAGAGAAGGAGACTCGGGTGCCCCTCCAAGCTGTGCCGGTCCATCTCTCGGAGAAAACGGCCGTGAAACCCACTTGGAGAAGCAGGGAGTTCGTGTCCAAGGGCTGATCATTAAAAGTGTGTGCAGTGCTGTGGAAAATGATACCTTTTATTTTGGAACAGTTAATATCTTCTTAAAAAAACGTCAATAACAGGGCTGATAATTTATTAAACCAGCTCCCTACCTTCTAAAATTAAAACGGGCTTTTTTTTTTCTTCTCTTAAATATGCACCTTTTACTCTTCCTTGGGGCCAAGCATCCAAATATGCTTTGAAGTCAAGAAAACAAAAATGAATTGGAAGCTCTCAGGTTAAAGAACACCCGTAAAGTACCATCCAGTCCCACAAACGATGCCTTCTACCTGCCTGACTTTCATGGCAGGTTTGAGAAAGAACAGAGAACCAGTAGAATGACTCGCCTTGTGAGTCTCTCAGGCACCCTCTGACTTGTTACCTCATTCATGATCTTCCCACCTGTGCAAAAATCATTCTCGTAAGAGTCACATTCTGTCCAGATTAGCATTTTTAAATTATCTTTATTTAACTCAACTTTATTTCCAAAATACTCTAAAGAAACATATTTCTACTCTCCTTTCTGAAAACTCGCCACAAAGTGGCACAATATTTAAACGCTGCCAGCCGATGGCGCCAAACTAGTCAAGTGAGTTTACGTTGGCAAGGTGATCTTGCTCCCATTGAAATGGCCCATTTTGCAGAATTAAATTCAGTTTCCGATTTTGCCAGCGTTGAGCGGCAGGTGTCTTGGGTTGGCTGTGCAGATACCACCGCTGTCCTCGGTCTTCCTGCCCCCCGAGTCCGGAGGCTCTCACACTCCACTTCCAGGGGCCCTCAGGGGCGCCGCCCAAAGGCAGGCTCCTCTGTCACATGCCATCGGTCTGCACGGCCCATGTCAGCGTCGGCGAGAGACCCGGTTCAGGGCATCCTGAGCGTTCACTGCAAGCCGAGCCATCCCTGCTGCATCCCGGCCAGGGCCACAGTGTGGACCCCTGGCCTCTGTAAGGAGGGGGTCCGCAGCCCTCTGGGGCCCACCTGCCACCCAGGAGCACCTGGCACCCTGTCGCTGGGGCCCCTCCTCATGTCATCGCTGTGAGGTTAGCGGAGGGCATTGAACCTGCACCCGACGCCTGGTTTGGTTTGGTTTCCTGCTTCTTTGACTATTCTGCTCAAGAAACACAAGTGGTATTGTCACACCTGTGGGGGGTCTTGGTACCACTGCGATAGCATGAGCGGCCTCGCGTCTTTGACACCCCCACACCCGGAGGTGAAGTCTCTCCCCCCACAGAACAAGCCTCTCCGGACCCGCCCCGGCTGTGTGTGTTCTCACGCTAGAAACCTCCCGGGATTCAGTTCTGCGTCTCCCCTCCGAACCTCCCCAAAAGCGAGAACTTGATCAGAAAGGGAGTGGTTAGCTTGCTAATAAAACCTAAACTGGAGTGTGCCCTTGGTCACCGCCAGGGAATAACGGGCTAGCCCGGAGAAATTTCAGAAAGTCGACGGACAGGTGCTGAGGGGGAGGTGTGCAGAGAAACCACCTGTCTGTTACTTCTCACTTTCCCTGTCTGGCCGCCAGCCCTGCAGGGGGACCCTTCACACTGGTCCTCCCCTTAGACCCTGCAATGCCCTCCTCCCACACCACCCAGCAGAGGCCCTGCGGGCTGCGGGCCCGTCCTCCCTCTCCGAGCCCTCTTCCCAGGGTGTCCCCTCCTGTGCTGACCACGTCTCACCGGAGGGCGTTCCGGGCCCTCCTCCTCCTGTTCCACACTGAAGGTGTTCACGCTTGGGGTGCTCTGTCTATGTACGCGGTCCTGGCTGGGCAGTTTCATGGACTTGCAGATACAGGGCGCAGCTCCATATGCAAAGCCCTGTCCCCCAGAAGGCAGGCTTTGGGACTGCTCACACCCAGTGTTTGGTCGGTTACCTGAAGGTGTTCACGCTTGGGGTGCTCTGTCTATGTACGCGGTCCTGGCTGGGCAGTTTCATGGACTTGCAGATACAGGGCGCAGCTCCATATGCAAAGCCCTGTCCCCCAGAAGGCAGGCTTTGGGACTGCTCACACCCTGTGTTTGGTCGGTTACCTGCGGATTTGCTCTCAGCGGTTGGCTACACTTACCAGCTGGGTTGCTGTCAAGCTCATCCTGTTTATGGCTGAGCTGGCAAACTGCTACAATGTAACATTTAGCAAGAACCCGTTTAATGAGCCCTGTGCAGACCCTGAGACCCTGTCCTACCAACACTCCCTGTCGCCTGTCCCCCTTTGACCTCCCACGACTTATCTGCATCTGACACCAGATACATTTAAAATGTTTCCTTATTTCCCTCCAAATAAGGTGACCCTCGTGTGTGCATGATTTTTCTTTTTTTAATCCTCACCCGAAGATATTTTTCCATTTATCTTCAGCTGGAGTGGGAGCGGGGGAGGGGAAGAGAAACATCGACATGAGAGGGACACATCGACTGGCTGCCTCCTGCACGACCCAACCAGGGTCGGGTCGAACCGTAACCGAGGTCCGTGCCCTTGACTGGAATCGAACCCGAAACTCTTTGGTCCCCAAACCGGCCGGGGTGGGTACATGAATTTGGGCTCATTCCTGGAACAGGGTCTGACCCAAAGCTGGCCTTCCCAGAGTACGTTTCGCATGAAGAAAGAAACCAGTCATTTCAGTTAATACATCCGGGGCAGTTCCGTCCAAGACAGAGCTCAGTTTGACCTTTCTGTCCAGTTTGGTGCATTTGTATCCACATTTCATTACAATCATGTTTTATTGGAAAGAGGTTTGGTTCTGCGTATTTTCTTTTTATGTGAAGACCACAAAGGTATTTATTTTGTTTCATAAGTTAGTTTCAATCTCAATTAGAGGAAAGAGTATCCCAGTGACCTACTGACCTAAACTGTGAGGAATGAGCAGTCTCACCTGCACCGCTCACACTAAGTCCGCGCGGCTTGGACGGCTCACGCCGGGGCCGCAGCTGTGGCCAGGTGCAGGGAGCCCGCGGGCCGGGAAGACGCATCTGCTCATCGTAACATCTGCATTGTCGACACATCTGTGTGGCCACGTTATCCCAACGACGACAATAAATTAAATACCTTTCTCTCAAGTTTAAATTACACTTTCCCCGGCTCTTGTAATTAACGTTGGGTGAATTGAGTACCTTTGAAAACTATTCACAGAAGTAGCGTCGAGACCAGCGAACAGCAAGCACTTGTTCATGTTCTAAATCGTTCAAAGCTGTTCATTGTGTGATTTTAATGGTCCGTTTGTTTCTCCTAATTTCAGAAATCGAAAAGGGGGGCTGCGGGGACCCCGGCGTCCCTGCCTACGGGCGGCGGACGGGCAGCCGCTTCCTCCACGGAGACTCGCTGACCTTCGAGTGCCAGGCGGCCTTCGAGCTGGTGGGGGAGAGAGTCATCACCTGCCAGCGCAACAACCAGTGGTCCGGCAACAAGCCCAGCTGCGTGTGTGAGTGTGGCCCCCGAGGGGAAGGGGCCGGAGGACGCCCGTGCGCTTGAGCAGGGCGGGCTTGGGGCCTCGCTGAGGGGCACGGGCGGCGCCATCCTCCCACACCCGTGTCCCTGACCCACACGGTCAGGTCGGCAGTAGTCAGCGGTGGGACCCCTGCTGGATCACATGCAGCTGAGCCTCCTGCCAGAATGAGGGGGTGCCTGGCATGGCATCCCTCGACCTGTTGCCTGGGCTGAGGGAGGACCCGGAGGGAGGACCCGGAGGGAGGACCCGGAGGGAGGACCCACAGAGAGGACCCGGAGGGAGGACCCGGAGGGAGGACCCGGAGGGAGGACCCTGAGGGAGGACCCAGAGGGAGGACCCGGACGGAGGACCCGGACGGAGGACCCAGAGGGAGGACCCGGAGGGAGGACCCGGACGGAGGACCCACAGAGAGGACCTGGAGGGAGGACCCGGAGGGAGGACCCACAGAGAGGACCTGGAGGGAGGACCCGGAGGGAGGACCTGGAGGGAGGACCCACAGAGAGGACCCGGAGGGAGGACCCGGAGGGAGGACCCACAGAGAGGACCTGGAGGGAGGACCCGGAGGGAGGACCCGGAGGGAGGACCCACAGAGAGGACCTGGAGGGAGGACCCAGAGGGAGGACCCGGACGGAGGACCCAGAGGGAGGACCCGGACGGAGGACCCGGACGGAGGACCCAGAGGGAGGACCCGGAGGGAGGACCCGGAGGGAGGACCCGGAGGGAGGACCCACAGAGAGGACCTGGAGGGAGGACCCGGAGGGAGGACCTGGAGGGAGGACCCACAGAGAGGACCCGGAGGGAGGACCCGGAGGGAGGACCTGGAGGGAGGACCTGGAGGGAGGACCCGGAGGGCAGTGGACTCCTCAGGACTCATGAGCTTGGGGGACACTGGGCAGGAGGCATGAGCCTGGGCAGGTGTCAGCGTGGATGTCATTTGAACAACTACCTTCTCAGGAGGACAGTATAGCGACAAGTAAAGTACTTCACGGCCCATTGAAACCCTGGATGGTTTTGTAACTAAATACAGCAATGGCCAGAAGATGTGTATGAAGTTATGTGGAATAAGAAGCAAAATCACACCCTTCAAATAAGTCCAAGTGTTGCCATATGTGTGTGTGTGTAGAGAGAGAGAGAACACACTCTCAGAAGTACATTGTACATTTTCCGAGCGATTTCCATAGCATCCACCCAGAACATGGTTTGATTCTCCAGCATGATTTAGGAAGAGTCAGCCTGCAGCCGATGAAATGAGGGGACCTAGGAAACGTGGTGCAAAGTGAGACGTGGCGCAGGCGACGGGGTGGAGCCCTCGCCTTCGGAGCCGCTCCCAGGTGCAGACACGTCCTCACGGAGGCCTTTGCTCGTCCAAAGCGGCACCTTCTCACTAGACCTGTCACACGGCCGCAGTCCCTGCCCACTGGCGGGATGGCGCTGGACACACTTGGGCCAAGGGTGCAGGCTCTGGCTGGGCCGGTGCCGCAGGAGCCCACCTGCTGTGGGGGAGAGAGGTGGGGTCTGGGACGAGCAGCATAAACACAGGACGGTCCTGGCGTCGGGCAGGGGCAGCCCCCCCAGCGCCCAGCGGTCAGCGTCAGGTTCCAGGCGAGCACCTGCCCGTGTCTCCACAGTCTCGTGTTTCTTCAACTTCACGGCGCCGTCGGGCCTCATCCTGTCCCCGAACTACCCGGAGGAGTACGGCAACAACATGAACTGCGTGTGGCTGATCATCTCCGAGCCTGGCAGCAGGGTCCACCTCATCTTCAACGACTTCGACGTGGAGCCGCAGTTCGACTTCCTGGCGGTCAAGGACGACGGCGTGTCCGACATGACCGTCCTCGGGACGTTTTCTGGCAACGAGGTGCCCTCCCAGCTGGCCAGCAGCGGGCACATCGTGCGCCTGGAGTTCCAGTCCGACCACTCCACCACCAGCAGAGGGTTCAACATCACGTACACCAGTGAGTGTGCCCCCTGCACGCCCCTCCTCCCAGGAGTGGGGAGTGTGCCAACCTGCCCCCTCCACGCCCCTCCTCCCAGGAGTGGGGAGTGTGCCAACCTGCCCCCTCCACGCCCCTCCTCACAGGAGTGGGGAGTGTGCCAACCTGCCCCCTCCACGCCCCTCCTCCCAGGAGTGGGGAGTGTGCCAACCTGCCCCCTCCACGCCCCTCCTCCCAGGAGTGGGGAGTGTGCCAACCTGCCCCCTCCACGCCCCTCCTCACAGGAGTGGGGAGTGTGCCAACCTGCCCCCTCCACGCCCCTCCTCACAGGAGTGGGGAGTGTGCCAACCTGCCCCCTGCACACCCCTCCTCACAGAGGGGGGAGTGTGCCAACCTGCCCCCTGCACGCCCCTCCTCACAGGAGTGGGGAGTGTGCCAACCTGCCCCCTGCACACCCCTCCTCACAGGAGTGGGGAGTGTGCCAACCTGCCCCCTCCACACCCCTCCTCACAGGAGTGGGGAGTGTGCCAACCTGCCCCCCTGCACGCCCCTCCTCACAGGAGGGGGAGTGTGCCAACCTGCCCCCTCCACGCCCCTCCTCACAGGAGTGGGGAGTGTGCCAACCTGCCCCCCTGCACGCCCCTCCTCACAGGAGTGGGGAGTGTGCCAACCTGCCCCCCTGCACGCCCCTCCTCACAGGAGTGGGGAGTGTGCCAACCTGCCCCCTGCACACCCCTCCTCACAGGAGTAGGGGAGTGTGCCAACCTGCCCCCCTGCACGCCCCTCCTCACAGGAGTGGGGAGTGTGCCAACCTGCCCCCCTGCACGCCCCTCCTCAAGGAGTGGGGAGTGTGCCAACCTGCCCCCTCCACGCCCCTCCTCACAGGAGTGGGGAGTGGTGCCAACCTGCCCCCTGCACACCCCTCCTCACAGGAGGGGGGAAGTGTGCCAACCTGCCCCCCTCCACGCCCCTCCTCACAGGAGTGGGGAGTGTGCCCAACCGCCCCCCCCCCCCCCTGCACTGCACACTACCCCTCCACAGGAGTGGGGAGTGTGCCCACCTGCCCCCTGCACGCCCCTCCTCACAGGAGTGGGGAGTGTGCCAACCTGCCCCCTCCACGACCCCCCTCACAGGAGTGGGGAGTGTGCCAACCTGCCCCCTGCACGCCCCTCCTCACAGGAGGGGGGCGTGTGCCAACCTGCCCCCTCCACGCCCCTCCTCACAGGAGGGGGGAGTGTGCCAACCTGCCCCTGCACGCCCCTCCTCACAGGAGTGGGGAGTGTGCCAACCTTCCCCCTGCACCCGCCCCTCCTCACAGGAGTGGGGACTGTGCCAACCTGCCCCCTCAACAGCCCCTCCTCACAGGAGTGGGGAGTGTGCCAACCTGCCCCCTGCACGCCCCTCCTCACAGGAGTGGGGAGTGTGCCAACCTGCCCCCCTGCACGCCCCTCCTCAAGGAGTGGGGAGTGTGCCAACCTGCCCCCTCCACGCCCCTCCTCACAGGAGTGGGGAGTGTGCCAACCTGCCCCCTGCACACCCCTCCTCACAGGAGTGGGGACTGTGCCAACCTGCCCCCCACCACGCCCCTCCTCACAGGAGTGGGGAGTGTGCCAACCTGCCCCCTGCACGCCCCTCCTCAAGGAGTGGGGAGTGTGCCAACCTGCCCCCTCCACGCCCCTCCTCACAGGAGTGGGGAGTGTGCCAGCCTGCCCCCTCCACACCCCTCCTCACAGGAGTGGGGAGTGTGCCAGCCTGCCCCCTCCACACCCCTCCTCACAGGAGTAGGGAGTGTGCCAACCTGCCCCCTAGGGAGTGGACATCAAGGCCGATACTTCAGAGGTTTTGTAATCATAATCAACACAATGAGAACAGCTAAATGAGATGTGATCATTCTGGTAACCCTAAAACACTTCACTCTTTACATTCCTGGCTTGGTCACCCCTATAGTGAGGACAGAACCCCTCACGCATATTTTCTTTCTTCCTTCCTGTCTTCCTTCCTTCCATCCATCCATTAATCCCCCCACCCACCCACTATACACCCACCTACCCCCCCACCCACCTATACACCCACCTATCCACCCACCTATACACCCACCTACCCACCTATTCACCCACCGACCCACCCACCTATACACCCACCTACCCCCCACCCACCTATACACCCACCCACCCACCCACCTATACACCCACCTACCCACCCACCCACCTATACACCCACCTACCCACCCACCCACCTATACACCCACCTACCCACCCACCCACCTATACACCCACCTACCCACCCACCCACCTATACACCCACCCGCCCACCCACCTATACACCCACCCGCACCCACCTATACACCCACCTACCCGCCCACCCACCTATACACCCACCTACCCGCCCACCCACCTATACACCCACCTACCCGCCCACCCACCTATACACCCACCTACCCGCCCACCCACCTATACACCCACCTACCCGCCCACCCACCTACACACCCACCCACCCGCCCACCCACCTACACACCCACCCACCCGCCCACCCACCTACACACCCACCCACCCGCCCACCCACCTACACACCACCCACCCGCCACCCACCCACCACACCCACCTATACACCCACCACCCGCCCACCCACCTATACACCCACCCACCCGCCCACCCACCTACACACCCACCCACCCGCCCACCCACCTACACACCCACCCACCCGCCCACCCACCTACACACCCACCCACCTATACACCCACCTACCCGCCCACCCACCTATACACCCACCTACCCGCCCACCCACCTATACACCCACCTATACACCCACCTACCCACCACCCACCTACACGCCCACCCACCCGCCCACCCACCTACACGCCCACCCACCTATACACCCACCTACCCACCACCCACCTATACACCCACCCACACACCCATCCACCCTCGATGCGCAAAGGAAGGTGTGAGAGCAGATGGAGGCTTGGGGCCCGCAGCGGCACCAGCCCACCAGCTCACAGCACCCTCGGTGCATCTTGATACATAGTTAACTTTTCTTCAACTCTGATTTCTCATCTGCAAAGCAGATTCTCTTTGGGGACATCTACGCAGGGCACTGGTGAGGGTGCACGGCACGAGTATTAGGTCAGAGGAGAGCCATGATTCTCCGGCTGCCTCCTCCCTGGGCCGCTGTGCAGAGCCCCAGCCAGGGGTCACCTCCTCTGTCGTGGCAGCACCTCTGGGCATAGGCCTGCCAGCCGTGTCCGTGAGGACAGATGGCCAGCGCTGACCATCAGGGGCAACTGCCTACAGGCAGGTCACCAGCCCGGGAAGCAGGACCATAACCAAGACACACCTGAACCGAGATCCGTCCACCACCCACGCCTCCCCTCTGTACTCTGAGTGGACAGGAGGCGAGCCGTTAGGTGCGCGTAGACGGGTCACACCGTGTCCGTCGCTCTCTGCCACTGGACAGCGACGCTCTGCTTACCTAACGCGCTGCTCACCTGTCTAGGAATAGGCAGCTTCCTTTTCCAATGCACACACGTGACGCTCGGGCGTCTCTCTCTCAGCGTTTGGGCAGAACGAGTGCCACGACCCCGGCATCCCCGTCAACGGACAGCGCTTTGGCGACCGGTTCCTCCTGGGCAGCTCGGTCACCTTCCACTGTGACGACGGCTTTGTGAAGACGCAGGGCTCCGAGTCCATCGTGTGCTCCCTGCAGGACGGCAACGTGGTGTGGAGCTCGGCCGTGCCCCGCTGCGAAGGTGCACCCCCGCCCTAGCTGCCCCCCGACACCCCGCCGCGACGCCCGCTCCCGGGGCGCGTCCTGGGCGCCGCACAGGGTGGCCTCCCGGGCTGAGGCAGCAGGAGGGCAGCGTCACCCCTGCCGGCCGAGGAGGTCCTTCGGGGCTGAGGGGAGACCATGCTCAGCCTCGCCGGCTTCCGGTGGCTGCTGGCGACCTCTGTGAGAATTGCACCTGTGCCCCTGGTTCTCAGGACACCGGTCATGTTGGGTCGGGCCCCGCCCCTGAGTCCTCCTGCTAAGCAATTGCACCCGCAGTGACCTGATTTCTGGACTAGGTCACTTTCTGAGCTGTGGGATTAGGAATTCAAAATGTGAGGTTAGAGGGCACATAATTCAGCCACAGGAACAACTTAGTTTTTAGTTAGCTGTTTCCTTGCCTTGAATGTAGCCGACATACATTCTACCTTATTGTCTTCTACAATAAGTAAATAGAAGAGAAGTATACGTTGAACGTAAGCCACCGCGGAGGGGGCTCTCCTACTGGACTTGTTGCCCTCTTCCCAGGCAGTGACCCCTACCAGCCCCAGAATCCCAGGGGGAAGGCGAACCCCGAGCCAGCTAACCAGGGTGCTGGAGTGGGAGATGACGGGGGGGGGGGGTCACCTGTCTAGCCCCAGCTCCTCCACAGTTCTCGTCATTGTGAGAAGGATCAGCGTTACTTTAAGTTGGCGAGAGCTGACCACTTCCCTTCAGAAAGACGGCCTTGTTCACCACGCTCACCGATGGTGAGGCAGCCCGGGGGGCCCTGGGCGTCCCGGGGTGGGGAATGGATACATCGAAGGGCAAGAAAGCAGTGGTTGATTTTTCATTCTTTCTATTGTGTCATCTGTTTGAAACGCATGGTTTTGTGTTTTACATTTTATCAAGTGTCACTAATGGACGGATGCGCAAAGGAAGGTGTGAGAGCAGATGGAGGCTTGGGGCCCGCAGCGGCATATAAAATTTGTTTATTATTATAAACAAATGAACACACACCTGTGGGTGCTCAAGTCAGTGATACTGATGCGGGGGGTGCAGGGTCCCACCGGCTCGCCGGCCCTGCTGACTGAACAGGAGTGATTCCCGAGACAGAGGGTCAGACGAGCAGCCCTCCAGCCCGTGTCCCACTCCGGCCGCTGGTCCCGCTGTCGTGGGCGCGCTGAGCTGTGACAGGCTGAGTGCTGATACACGTAGGTTGAGTCGGGGTGCCCCTCAGCACCGTGGGGACAGAAGGGGATACTGACGAGGGGCAGGCGGTGATGCCGAAAGTCCGAGAGCGCAGAAGGGCATCGTCAGTGGAAGAGGCAGAGGTCTCAGGACTGGGAAGAAGCTTCGGGTTCTGCTCCCTGCAAACCCCGTGATAGCCCGAGCACGGGGACTGGCGCATCGTGAGTGGGTTCAGAGTGCACCTGAGCTGAGAGACCCAGCTCCTGAGGCCGGTGGACAAGGCAGGTGGCCACGGAGACGTGGCTGAGGAGACCCCCCCCAGCTGCAGTGGACACAGCTCGGGCCGCACGGCAGAGCCTGTGCCGGGAGAGAGCACCCCCAGGGAACAAAGACACAGAAACTAAAGTAGGATCTATTGTTACAAAGAATCAGCATTAGAAACAGTTCAGTGCCACAGTGAGTTCCTCCTTAGTGCCCATCACACAGACAGCCCCCCTGTGACTCTGATAAGAAAACAGGAAACCAGCCCTGGCCGGTTTGGCTCAGCGGTTGGAACGTCGGCCTGTGGTACAGAGAGACCCGGGTTCAGTTCCCGCTAAGGGCACGTACCTCGGTTGCAGTTTGTCCCCAGCCCTGGTTGGTCGTGCAGGTGGCAGCCACTCGATGTGTCCCTTTCACATCGATGTTTCTCTCTCTCTCTCTCTCTCTCCCTTCCTCTCTCCCTCCCACTCTATCTGAACAAAAAATGGAAAAATGTCCTCGGGTGAGGATTAAAAAAAAACCTTGGAAACGAGAAATTTACAATTATTTAGCAAAAGAAGAGATTGATGACCTTGATTAGACAAATATCAATTTAGTATAATAATAATAATATGTTATCGTTTATAATAATTTGATATAAAGAATGATAGGCTCACTATACAGCAGTTGAAAAGAGCAGTATGTGCGCTTATGTGGCAGGATTGGGTACAGCAGGTCCCGTGTCAGTTGTGGCCTCTGGGTGAACACGCTCTGTGGCTTGTTCTGCGTGTACCCTGCATGGATTCCCCAGCACAGCTCAGCGGCATCGCAAACACACGTGATGGGCGAGGGGCAGCTGCACCAGAATCCACCGTTAACTCTACGGCAACAGGTCCTCAAGCTCAGAGGAAACGGGTCATTTCCTTGCAAAACATAAACACCCCAAATTCAAAGTGTAAACTGTGAATGAGCGATGTGCCAGAAAAAGAGATTCGAGAGAAGATTAAATATCGAGAACGACACAGGCACCCAGGAGCTGCGTCGGTGGGTCCCCATCCTCAGGTCCAGGGTCGGAGGGTGGGAACACTCCCCGGGAAACGCCGGCCGTGGTCTGACCCCCGTGTGGCGTGTCAGAAGCCAGTGTTCACGGAGCACGACCAGGCCAAGTGTTTACGTGGAGAATAAGGCTGTAGAAAACGCACGTTCAATCAAGAAGGGCCTGTTTTAGGAATACGGTTTTGGGTCATTGGTCAGTACAAACAGGCAGTGGATCAAGGAAAACGGCATCTGAGAGCCCCCTGCCCCGTGTTTGCTTTTGGTCCTTTCGCACGACTGCCCACGGGCGCTCCGCCCTCGGCTGTCCACCAAACAGGCCCGCCCCTCCCGCCCCTGCGTGGCGTGAGAGCCCGTCGGGTGCTGGCCAGCGGGGTGTGAGGGTCATGGCGTCGTCACCTTCGGGCCCGAGTCGTGCAGCCCCGCCTAGTATTTGGGGAGTTATTTGTTGATGCACAATCTAAAGATCCGCGCGTCTGTTTCATCAGGGCAGAGGGGTTCCCGCCCTCAGGACCCCGCAGACGACACAGTGACGCGTGGCAGCCGAGAGTAATAAAAGTAGCGTGTGACAAGCCAGGCACGTTCCGTGACAGGGTTTTAACAGCGTCACTAAACTAAAGGAAACACAATTGTGTATTTATGGGGAAATAAGGTTTTCAGAAAACAGCGCACCCTGCGGACTTAGAAATGTCTTAGGAATAAAAACGTGTTTCAGTCTGCACCTGCGTATGTCTTACTCAGAGAGGACCTCTGAGCAGTTCCTTACACACCAAGTAGGCGTAATTAATAGGCTGCCTAAGAGCTCCATTCGCTGAGTTTACCTGGGGATGAGCTTCGCTGTGACACTTGGGGACGTGAGCTCCGCGAGCACGGAGACCACGTCCCGCGGTGAGGCTGGCCGGCTCCGCGCAGTCGGTGACGCGGACCCCTTGCCTTCCAGCCCCGTGTGGCGGACACCTCACCGCATCCAGCGGCGTCATTCTGCCTCCCGGGTGGCCAGGATATTACAAAGACTCTCTGAATTGTGAGTGGATCATTGAGGCAAAACCAGGACAGTCGATCAAGATAACTTTTGACAGGTAAGGAAAACAAACCCTTTCTTCCTGAATGCACGCCCGAGGTTTCTATTGGAACGCCTCTGAAAATGTTGCAATAGGACCGTTCTTTATTGGTTCCCCCAAAGGGGTTTACTTAACGAGGGTCAGTTTAGCTCTGGGTGTTGTCCTGGAAGCCCCCCGTCCAGGACCCCGAGGGCAGCTTGCAGGAGCGGTGGTCCCGCCACCACTGCCCAGCTCTGACCGCGGCTGGCCCCGGCGTCCCTCTCTGCCTCCGGCCCTGCAGGGCACGCGCTGTGTCCGTGTGACTGCACATAGCACCACCTTCACACCCTCCGGTGGCCGCTGTCCTGCTGGTGGCCGGGGCCCGAGGGCAGCTCTGGTCGGCAGATCTGGAGGTGGGGAGCGTGTGACAAATGGCAGACTGAGTTCTCGGTGAGTGAGAGGTCACTGCAGTGCCCTTCGGCGATTTGATAGAGTGTCAATAATCTAAAAAAAATGTCCTGTTGACCTGGCCGGTTTGGCTCAGCCATTAGAGGGTTGGCCCGTGGACCAAAGGGTCTTGGGTTCGATTCTGGTCAAGGGCCTGTACCTTGGTTGCGGTTTGGTCCCCGGCCCTGGTCGGGGTCACGTGGGAGGCAACCAGTCGATGTGACTCTCTCACGTCGACGTTTCCCTCTCACGCACCCCCTCCCTCTCTCCCACTGTGTCTGGAGATAAATGGAAAAATATCCTCAGGTGAGGATGGAACAAAAAAAGTTGTGTGATTTGAATCTTTCGTCATGAAACACGTGCACGTTTGTCTCAACAATGAGATAAGCCGAAGTTCTAAACCAGACATTTTGGAACGAACCCCGAGTCTTCAAACCCAAGAGAGCGCCGTGCTTGGAGCTCCACGCTGAGCCGGGGAGCCCTCGCCGTGGGGTTCCGTACCCCTGCCCTCTCCGGACCCCCTGACAGGCAGCAAAGTGTGATGTCTGGAAGCAGCCGGCTGCTCCTGCTTTATCTCATTTTGGGGTCTCATCATCCGTGGTAACAGCCTCACAGTATCGGCTTCGAGCGGGAGACCCTTAGCTCCTCGTAGTCGTCGGTATGGAAATTGTGATGTGTAGCATTTACTGCGATAGCGGGATAGCAGTCCCCACAGGACCATCTCTCCGGAGGAAGGGAACCGCTGGGTTGTGTGTCCACGATATGAGACGGGGATCCCTGCACGGCCCCCTCACCCCTAGGGCAGCATGGCGTGCGCTCCCTGCACCCGCCGTCGCCCAAGAAACACACGGACGCTTTTGCACAGACATCTCCAGTGAGGTGTCTCCTGTGCTTGTCCAGGCTTTTGGTCTGGGACTCAGACAGCTGAGAAACTTCAGGGGACATTTAAGTGATGAAAGGCGAGGTGTGCGATTCAACCCAAATGCCCAGACGGTGCCCCTGAATTCCAGCCCAGTACAGGACACGCACGTTGTTTAGATTCCTCTTTATGGAAGGTCGGGGTCAGGGGTCCACCCAAGGACAAACCATCATGCTTTTTCACCTGGAGAGGTGTGTGTTTCAGGGAGAGCAGGGCTCCCGACCTCTTTGTCCTTCCCTGCGGCCTGCACCCCCACCCCCAATGTTCGGTGCAGGGCGCGGGCCCCGGACACCTTTGTCTGCCAGTCCTGAGTGCGCCCGAGCCTCCCCCGGAGGGCACTGCCCCAGGGCTCAGCAGACTGGCGGGAGCTGCCTCACTGTGTGAGGGCCCCTGGGCCCCTTAGAACACAATCGCGGTGCTGGGGGACCCGAGTGGCCACCACTGGTAAAGACCAGGTCGGACAGGAGTGTCCGGAGGTGGACGCCCCCCTGGGAGAAGAGCTGAGCCCCTCGGATGCTGCCGTGACTTTGCCGGCACTAGGAGGTGGCACAGAGTGCGCGGTGGCCCGGTCCGGGGGCGCAGGCCGCGTCACAGGCACGGTCCGTGGTCGCGAAGACAGGGTGGTGGTCGGATTCCTCTTCCCTTAGCAGTCCCTGCGCTTTGGGGTGCCCGCTGCAGGACACCCGTCCTCGTGTTGACCGGGCAGGGGGACGGTTGGAAAATGAAAAGGGTTGGTTTTACCACTTGTTGATGCGTGACCTCCCGTCTACCTATTCCCAGGAAAGCTGAGGGGGGCGGCCCTCGTGTTTAGAGCTGGTCACTGACCCTCTGTGTCTGTCACAGACGAGCTGTTCAGTGGGGCCTTTCCCCCTAGAACAGTGGTTCTCAGCCTGGGGGTCGTGACCCCTTTGGGGGTCGAACGACCCTTTCACAGGGGTCGCCTAAGACATAACAGTAGCAAAGTCACAGTAACAAAGTAGCATCAAAAGTAATTTTAGGGTTGGGGTCACCACAACACGAGGAATGTATCGAAGGGTCGCGGCATCAGGGAGGTCGCACCGTGGCTCTAGGACCGAGGCCCACGCGCAGTGTTCTAGGTGCCCACGTTGTGAGGAGGCAGGACTGTACTGAGTGTATTCCTGTCGCTGCCACGGTCTTTAATCAGTGGGCGGCGACACCACGGGCATGTCCGCGAGGGACCGGGGCCCTGCGTTCCTTTCCTGACCGATGCCGTGTCCGCAGGTTTCAGACCGAAGTGAACTATGACACCCTGGAGGTGCGGGACGGGCCGGCCAGCTCGTCGCCGCTCATCGGGGAGTACCAGGGCACCCAGGCCCCCCAGTTCCTCATCAGCACCGGCAACGCCATGCGCCTGCTCTTCACCACGGACAGCAGCCGGGCCAGCGTGGGCTTCCTCATCCGCTACGAGAGTGAGTCCCGCCGCGTCCCTGTCCCCGTGGCAGAGGAGTGGCCCTGGGGCACGGGGCACGGGTCGCAGGGCCAGCCTGAAGGCCTCGCTGCGCTGCGTGGTCCTGACAGCGCCCTCTCCGCCGGGAGCAGCTTGGGGGGCTGACTTGAAAAGATGCACTTGTTTATTGCCAAGTAGAACAAGAAATGAGTAATAACGGATTGCTATGATGAGCAACATACTGTTGGCCAGAGGATCTAACAGGGCACAGCACTAAGGTTATGTATCCGCAACAGTATTTTTTGCCAGAAAAACACGGTTTGGGAAATCGTGGTCCCTGCCTGTCAGCACGTGGACACAGGCCCAGGGACAGAGCCCGTGACAAAGGGAAACGCAGGGAAAGGCCAGCTGAGCACACCATGGGGGTCTCCGCAGCTGTCAGGAATGCGGGGAACTTGCTCACACAGTGTAGGGCCCGGCCCTTGGCGTGGCCCCCAGTCCCAGTGCCGCCCAGTTGTTCCCAAAATGCAGACAATGCCCTGGGGTAGCCTTTCCCGCGGCCCCACCTGACGTGAGCACACCCACGGGGGTGCCGGCTGGGGACCCCAGAAGCTCCAAGTCCACATGTTCCCCCATTCTGAAACCACCGGTAAGTTCCGGCTCCCCCGGTGGCCCTCAAGATGGATCCTTTGGTGGAAGGACTCGGAGAGCCCCCCACAGTGACTACACTCCCGGTCGCCTTCACGGTGGGAGAACGTACCCCTGAACGGAGGGTGGACTCTGACGGGGTCCGCACTCTGAGCTGGCTGAGGTCTCCCTGTGGTCATGAACAGGGTCACCCCCTCCGAGCCCTGACGTGTGACAGTGGGCACAGTGTGCTGCCCAGGAGGGCTCCCCGCCTCCCTGCCCAGGGGGTTCACGGTGCTCCATCCATCAGCATCCCTGATGCATCCCTGCCGTGTGGCTGAGCCCAGCCCCAGCCTCCCCCCGCTGCAGGTTGGACTGAAATCCTGCTGCCCCAGCCCCGCCGTCAGCCACCGGCGCCTGTAAACTCTCAGGCGTGGTCTCAGGCCCCCCCTTGAGTAACAGACACTCCGCCACCAGGAGACACCGAGGTCCAGAGGTCCCCTCCCAGGATCTCGATCTCCCTGTGGAGGTCACTTCCCCTCCGACGCATTTTTGAACAGTGGCTCGGATGTCTTGTGTCCCATGCCTATGGAACCCCATTTTGCTAAGCTCACAAGAAATAGTATCCCATTATTTATTCCAAAATAGCACGCCTTAGCTGCATTTAATGAATTCGACTTTAATGAAGGAAGGTGTATTCATAAGGGACATCACTCGAGTTTTAATGCAATCTATACAGTGATTAGAAATGCCCTCCCAAAGGCCATCTGGGCGGGGGCTAGGCGGCCTGGGTATTGGTAATAATGTAAGAGTTCTGATTAATATTTCAAGTTATAATCGGAATGTTCTGAACCTTACTACAAGGTTTGGTATAGCAATAGCGTCTTTTTTATTTCTTGACATTCGTAAACATCAGAACGATATTCTCCCTAGTTTCCTTGTTTTTACTATATGCACTGTTCTAAGCATAGAACGTCCGAGGCAGAGGACAGAGCTGGCCACAGGGCACAGCTGGCTCCATCGGCTCTCACTTTCTACCGTGTCTTGCACAGGCTCAGTGCAGCCGTCTTAAAAGTGGCTGCGTCAGCGCAAATTTGAAAAACACTGTGTGGATTTACGGAATCCGGTGTTAGAAAGCCAGCCCAGCTCCGTTGCCACGCGTGTCCTAGGTGTGCGGCTGGGTGTTCGGGAGCGTGTGCCTGGAAGGCAGGGTCCGAGCGCCAGACTCCAGCGGGAACCTCACATCCATCGAGGGGGGAGCAGAGAAACGAGGGAGGTGGAAACTGAGCGAAGGCGGAGGCTTCTGTGCGTGCGTCTCTGGATTTTCACCTGAAAGGTGACACCCAGAGAGGTCGCGGGCACTCAGGTCCCAGTGCCGGTGCCATCTGCTCACAGGGCACAGCAGGCCACGCCTCTGCTGCGGGGCGTGCTCAGCCTTGCAGAGTGTGCTTGCACGTGACTCGGTCCGTGAATTCACCGGCATCCTTTTCCAGGTCCGATTACGTCTGGGGACATTTCACGTGTGTGTGGCTCAGATACTTACCTCTTCTGTAAACCGGAAGGTCGCTATGTGACGCAATTTTTCCGGCATTTAGGTGTCACCGTTGACTCAGACTCCTGTCTCGACCCTGGGATCCCCGTGAACGGCCGTCGGCAGGGCGACAACTTCAGCCTCCAGTCCACAGTGACGTTCAGCTGCGACCCTGGGTACACGCTCAGCGACGAGGAGCCCCTGGTCTGTGAGCGGGACCACCAGTGGACGCACGCGCTGCCCAGCTGTGACGGTAGGGGGGGCCCCGTGGGCAGCCCGTCATGCAGAAATGCAGACACGTGTACATATTTGAACAGTTTGAATGGCAGGCGTATTTTAGGAGATGGTAGAATATGACCGAAGTGGATTTCCGTTTGATAAGGTGTACACCTTAAAACACCGTTGCTATTTAATATTTGAAATTTACCGAGCAAGTGGTTTCTAATGGGTAGAGCATCGGTTGAGAAATGAAGGATGAACAAGTACGAGCTGCCCTTCAACTGTACCCCAAACACCAACCGTGCACATACCCTGCCGGCATCTGCTGAAGGTAGCACGCGGGCACTGTGGTCGAGAGGCACATTCTACAGCGTCCGCCCTAATTTTTCTCTGACCCAGGGCCACCCGTCCCCAGTTTCCTCTGGGTCTGCGCTTGTCTGATTTCCTCGGACCGTCCGAGGCAGGGCTCTGGGGCGGAATCCTCAGGACAGAGTCTCAGGACAGCCCGAGGGCGGCCAGCACGGGTGCCCAACCTACATGAATGTCACCTTTTCATCGTGAACAGTCACTGTCACTTGAGGATGTGAACGTCTGGAACGGTTAAAATAGTCCAGACTCGTTTAAAAAAGTCTCTGCTTTGCTGACGTTCCATTCTTCTTCCCATTAGGTTTGGGTATTCAAAGACACTATCTGTTCCCTTTAAAAAAAAAAGACGAGAAATAGCACGTCCCTCAGCTCATTTCTCGCAAATGTTCCTTGTGGAAGTAGCTTTGATGGACGTAATTCGGGGCGTTCATAGGGGAAGCTGCTCCCGGTTCTGTCATTTGGTGGTTGATCATGTCACCCAGTTTAAGAATGACACGTGGGGCCACGTGTGCAGAGGAGGAGACCAGGTGGGAAGCAGCCGGGACCCGGTGTGAGCGAGGAAGTTGAGTCCTGACGCAGCCACCGCGCGGGACACTGTGCTGAGTCTTTAAACGCGTTTCCTCGTTCCGATCTCACGGGGGCAGGTGTTCTTCCTGCCCTGTTACCTCCGAGGCTCGGGGACACGGGAGCGGAGAATGTGCTCGGTGTCGCCCGCCAGGGGCGCGGGAGCTGGAGCGAGGGTCAGGGCAGCCTGGGCTCCGTCTGTGCGGCCGACACCGTGCAGATGCTTGTGGAGAGTCCGAGCCCTCAGACAAGGAGACTCACTCGGCCGAGCCGGTCACCTGGCTCCGGCCTCGCCTCCTGCTTCGCGGGCCTGTCACCGGGGTCCCTTCAGGGAATGTCTTCTGTCCTCAGGGAAGCTTGCGGGGCGGACGATAGGAAAGAAACGAAAACACCGAGAGAACATGTTCACCTTTCAAATGTTTGTAAAGTTCGGACATGTCAACTTTATCCAAGTTCTTAAAGCATTGACATCTCAGAGACCGAACAGTCGTGAGTCATTACAATAGTGATGATTTGGGTATTGAGTGGATTCAGACCTGCGGCTTGTTACCCGGTGGGTAACACCCTAAGAGACGGGCTTTATCACTGTTTCATGTTCAGAAGGGGGCAGGCGACATGCCCTCGGCCTCAGAGCTGGCCAGGGGCTGGGTCAGCGCCGGCCCCCTTGGCTCCTGGCACAGGGTCCAAGCACCCAGACTTCGGGTGGCATCGAATCCCTAAATGTCACCGCTGTCTGTGCAATTGACTGTCCGTGACTTCCTGCTCTTCCTTCAGAGATGCGTCCTGGAGGCATATTGAACGGGGTGCAGAGAGCGGGAGAGATTCAACCCCCTGAAATGTACGAACAGCAGCCCCAGGGCATGTCGCCTGCCCCCTGTCTGAAGCCCCAAGGGTGCGAGTCTGTGTTCTGGGAGAAATGTGGGGTGTCGACATATGTTTGTATCTCAGAGTGGGGGAGACAGAGGGGAGAAGAGGGGTTGTTCACCGTAAGGAACTGGCTCAGGCCATGGTGGGGACCCTCAGGTTCCGAGACGGGCAGCCATGAGCTGGAGACCCAGGTGATCCGTGGTGTGAAGCCCAGCCTGACGCTGCTGGGCTTGAGACTCAGAAGCACTGATGTTTCGGTTCAGTCCAGAGGCAGGAACATGACAAGGTCCCGTCTGAAGGCAGTCAGCCAAGGGAAATGTCATTTTACGGGAGGTTCAACCTTTTTGCTCTTTTCAGTCCTTCGACGGATTGGACGAGGCCCACCCACTGCAGGGAGGGCCATCTGCTTTACTCCAGGTACCGATTCCACGTCCACGCCGTCGGAGAGCACCCTCGCGGACGCACCCAGAGTAGCGTGTGGCCAAGTGTATGGGCACCCGGTCGTGTTGACACAAAATTCACCATCACCGGAGGGTTCTGCTCTGGCTGGCCCTGCTCACGGTGTTCTTCTAGGTTTTATATTGGTCGGGAACCCTGTATACAAAGTAGCAGATTATAATTACAAGTCAACTAACGTTTTTCTTTTGGTTTAGTTTTCATGGGGATGATATTAAATATTCTTTCAGGACTTGGCAAATTAAATGCCACTTCAAATGTATGTTATTCTACCAGCCACTGTGAAATGAATGCTACAGTGATGGTCTCTTCTTCCGTCAGCGCTCTGTGGAGGCTACATCCACGGGCAGAGTGGGACCGTCCTTTCTCCGGGGTTCCCCGACTTTTACCCCAACTCCCTGAACTGCACGTGGACCATCGAGGTGTCTCATGGGAAGGGTAAGACCGCGACATGGTTTTTAAACATGCGAATAATTAACAAGATAGAAATAAAGAAAAAAGTACTAATATGGGAATGAGCGCAATAACAAGTCTCATCACGTGTCGTTTATTTGTTCATGTTTATGTTTTTATGCATTCTAGAAGGATAACGGTCTTTTTTTTAAGCTGTCACTCAAGTATATTTTCCATTTATCTTGAGAGAGAGTGGGAGGGGGAGAGAGAGAGAGAAACATCGATGTGAGAGAGACACATCGACTGGCTGCCTCCCACACGACCCCGACTAGGGCCGGGACTGAACCGCAACTGAGATACGTTCCCCTAACCAGAACTGAACCTGTGACTCTTTGGTCCGAGGGCCGACGCTCTCATCGCCGAGCCAGACTGGCCAGGACAGGGTAATGATTGTGCTACAGGCAGAAGTGCATGTCCTGTTTCAGTCTCTGTTTCTCAGGTGACCTGGGTTGATGCCCGGGACGTAAGCTTGAAAATCAGGGGTAATGGTAAGGAGGAGAGGCACAGCTTGTGCAAGAGATGAATATGGTGGAGACAAGAAGAAGTGGACGGAACGTCTAGTTTTCACGGGCTCTAGGGCACCTTATGGACCCTGTGTTCTGAGCTACAGCATGTCACTGCCCAGAATACGTCACCGTCACAGAGTCCAGTGACGGCTCACGGGGCCGTTCACGTTTTCCTCACCTCATAGACACGCACGGTGGCGCTGGGACCATTTCCATTTTGTGCACGACGTGTGGTTTGTGAACATTTTATTTAGGAATCTGTATGGTTTGGTTTGGTTTGTTTCAGGTTGTCTGAAGTCATTTTTAACAGTGACTTGGAGATCTGACCACACACATATGTAGATGTCTTTCCACGTAGATTTGAGTCTAACTGATGTTTAATTGACACGTTTTGATACATGTGCTGAGTCACGCTCTGTCCTCGGGTGTGTGCGTTCATGTTACACGTGCTGAGTCACGCTCTGTCCTCGGGTGTGTGTGTTCATGTTACACGTGCTGAGTCACGCTCTGTCCTCGGGTGTGTGCGTTCATGTCACACGTGCTGAGTCACGCTCTGTCCTCGGGTGTGTGTGTTCATGTTACACGTGCTGAGTCACGCTCTGTCCTCGGGGTGGTGTGTTCATGTCACACGTGCTGAGTCACGCTCTGTCCTCGGGTGGTGTGTGTTCATGTCACCGGGCTGATCACGCTCTGTCCTCGGTGTGTGTGTTCATGTTACACGGTGGTGTGTGTGTTCATGTTACACGTGCTGAGTCACGCTCTGTCCTCGGGTGTGTGTGTTCATGTTACACGTGCTGAGTCACGCTCTGTCCTCAGGTGTGTGCGTTTATGAGCTGGACGTCCAGGCTAAGGTTTTCCGAAGGACGTTGGTCTAAGATAAATGGAAAAGTTCTCTGGCCCCTCATTGCAGAGGCTCTGCTGACGGCCCAGTGAGCGTTTCTGCACACGGCCCTGCAGCACCTGCTGAGCTGAGCATCAGTCTGCATCCAGATGTCTGTCTGCATCCAGATGTCTGTCTGCATCCAGATGTCTGTCTGCATCTGCCTTGCTTCTACGTCTGCATCTGCAGCCACCTCTTCACCCACAGCGACATCTGTGTCCAGATCTGTGTCTATATCTTTACGTCTACATCTGTATTTATATAGCTGTCTGTCTATGTCTATGTCTATGTCTATATCTATATCTATACCTGTGTCTATATCTATCTCTATATCTATATCATCTATATCTCTGTCATCTATATCTCTATCTGTGTCTATGCCTGTCATTGTTGATCGATGTCTACATCTACTTCTAAATCTATATCTGTATCTATATCTCACCTACATTCACATTTCTATTTATGCATTTAAACATTTATTCATTTTTGCTATTCACTCTGCTTCTTTCTTTCTAAAGACCCTCTCCTTCCCCCATTGTCTGCATTTTCTTTTCCAAACTCCGCGGGTAGGTTTGCCACTAAGATTGCATTTGGATTCGGGGCGGGCGTCTCAAGGCCAGCGGGGACCGCTCTTCAGCACTGCTCCCCGCCCGTGCCTCACTGACCTCTCGCCCTGCCCCCCAGGAGTGCAGATGACGTTCCACACCTTCCACCTGGAGAGCTCGCACGACTACCTGCTGGTGGCGGAGGACGGGGGCTTCTCCGAGCCCGTGGCCAGGCTCACGGGGTCTGTGCTGCCGCACACGGTCAAGGCCGGCTTGTTTGGGAGCTTCACGGCCCAGCTCCGGTTCATATCCGACTTCTCCATCTCCTACGAGGGCTTCAACATCACGTTCTCAGGTACGCCGGCCCGGGTGCCGTGGGGGACTCGCAGTGCCGTGCGCTGTGCGGTGGTGTGCGAGGTTACAGATGAGTGGGCGGCATGCTGGGGGAGCAGGCTGGCCCTCCTCCGACCTGCGTGGCCACAACAAAATGCCGCAGCTTCTCGGTGGACATCGCTGGTGTCACAGTCTTTCCCTGAAAAGCCCTTCTCGCTCCTTGTCCTCGCTTTTCCCGGAATCGCGGCGGACACCGTCCTCGTGGGCGGCGTATTCAGGACCGCTGAGCTCCGATTATTATGGATCCTCCCCCTGCTGGAGGTCAGTTCTCACCTTTCCCCTTGAGGGTGCAAGCATTTCGAACACACACGATCCAGGATGTCTGTTTGGGCCACTTTCATGCAACCACACAGTGACCAAACGGTATCCCAAAACTAAGCGACCTCTTACTTTTCAGCTGCGACACCCAGATAACGTCTGTGATGGGCATTCGCTGTATGGGTTAAATTGTTTGATTTGAATGGTTCTATGAATGGTATTAAGATTTTTTACAGATAAAAAAAATTATAGACACGTAACTGATCAAAGCTGTCGGGGATCAACTCCATCACCGAAAGCATCCGTGTTCCGTGAGCGCAGAATGGCCCGGCCACCCCTCCGAGTCCCCGGCTGGCAGACAAGGCAGCACCGCCCTGGGGCTACTGACCGGCGCCGCCGACAGTGCCCACTGCGCCTGTGTGTGATGCTCGGAAAAGAAAGTGTTTTCAACTTCGTCTCCGTAACCCAAGTCTGATGTCGTTTTTACTTGGTGGTTCCCCCATAATCACAGGAGGTTTCTTATCCCCTTCAGCTCCCATAAATGTCTTATCCACTTCGGATACATGTACCTGACTCTTCGTACAATATCTGAGTATCTACCTGTCTCCTGTTCCAGTACCAAAGCTCTTGGCGGGAGGTCTGCTGTGCTCCACAGTTTCTTTTTCAAAATTCTTCTGTATCTATTTTAGAGAGAGAGGAAGGGAGAGGGAGAGAGAGAGAAACATGATGAGAGAGAACATCAGTTGGCTGCTTCTTGCCCCCCCACTGGGGATGGGCCCACAACCTGGGCATGTGCCCTGACCGGGAATCGAACTGGGACCTCTTGGTGCAGGGTCAACGCTCAGCTACTGAGCCACACCAGCCGGGCTGCTAGTCCCACTTTTCATTACCGACAGACAGCTCATATTCTTTACCTTACACAGAGGGCACTGATTAATTAGCACTTACTAAATACCGCTTGATCATTAACAACATGCAAAATGGCAAACTGTCTCTTTTCAGCCTTGTTGAGGTAGAACTGACGCGTTGAAATACCGTCTTAACGAGAGAGATTTCTTGCGGAATTGAAGGTGCTCTCCGGTGCTTTGCTCCCTGTGATCATGCCCGATTCCCATCTGCGTCAATCTGACTTTGCTGATTTTTCTCTGTCTGCAATTTCGCTGCATTAGTGGAGCTCCGAGGACGGGCTCAGGCCGCTTGGTTTCTTAGCAATTTGCCATCATCAGTGGTAAAGATACAACCGGCCACCGCGTATGTGGAAGGCTTAAATCTTCCTGAGACTGATACCCACACCCCGCCCCCTCTCCGCTGTCCTCGGTGGGTCTCAGCTGAGACAATGCCACCTCTTCTGCCCTGTTTTCATTGCGATGCGACACGAGCCAAACAGAAGACTGTGGGGGAAGAGCGTCCGGTGCACGTGCAGCTTCTCTGTGGACCTTCTGCAGAGCCCTGCATTCCCGCCCCCCGGTCTCCCCGCGGCTGTGCCCAGCTCCGTGCGGGCCATCAGCCTCGACATCCCGCCAGTCGAATGTCACCCCCGGGCTGTCTGCGTCCTCCATCCCTGCACAAACAAGCCAGCAAACAGTGGAGTGAACACACTCTTCAGGGCCTATGTTGAAATGAACGAGGTAACAGTGTTTGAACATGTGGAGAGTCCATTTAAACATGACACTGTAACACGGCCCGTGACGTCTGCACACGGCCCTGGAACAAGGCCCTTGACGTTTACACACGACCCTGGAACATGGACCATGTCGTCTGCACACGACCCCAGAACACAACGTGTGACATCTGCACACGACCCTATAACACGGCCCTTGATGTCTGCACACAACCCTGGAACACAGCCTGTGAAGTCTGCACATGACCCTGGAACATGGCCTGTGACATCTGCACACGACCCCGGGACACAACACGTGATGTCTGCACAGGACCCTGGAACACGGCCTGTGACGTCTGCACACGCCTTCAGCTCCCTCCGTGCTGTGTCCCACACCAGCTCAGAGGGGCGTCTTAAAAACACCTTCCCTGCAGGGCCAGTTTGAAAGTGAACCTGCTCTTCAGAGATGCAAAAGGAATAATTCCATCGACACAGATTTTTCCTCGAAACGGCCCGCGGACAATGGCCAGGAGCCCGTAGGAGGCCGTCGATAAGTTTGTGTTCAGATACGAGGCACCTTCATGATGCAAACGGAGCATGGACCCTCCCGGGACTTTTCTGACGTTTGTAGAGAATGAGTAGCTTTCGTGCCCGGCTGTTCTCTCGGTCCAGCGCACTTGGGCCTCTCGAGAAGGCGACACTAATCAGCATCTCCCGAGTGTGGCAGGCCCCACAGTCGCTGCTGTGCACACCGCGGGCGCGGTCCACGCTGGGTGTTCCGGGCAGCCGCGCACGGTGGCCGCTGTCCCCGAGGCCGCTCCCCACTGTGGGCCCTGCACCCTGGACCCCCGGCCTCCTCCCCTTCTGCTCTGGCTCCCCTTCCCGAATGCCAGCGTCCAGTGAATTCTCATCCTTGCACCGGCATTCTCTTCAAAAGACGAGAATTTGGACAACTTAGCGCCTTCACGTTTGTGACTCGCTGGTCATTAAAAGGCCTTTTCTTTATTCTTTGGGCAAAATTCCTTCCCTCCAGGCCAGACACTGTCCTCTGCACATGTCATTTCTCCTCTTTGCTGAGCAGGGGTCCCTCCTTCTACGCCCCCACAGCACTGTTTTTATACCGAATCGATGTCTTGTCCAGTCAGTACCTTGTATTTGTCTGCTCCGCTCTACCCCGAAGATTCCTTCACGTCCTGTCAGTGCCTTTGAAACAGTGTAGCAGACTCCTTCCTTCCTTGTTTATTTACATTAACGCATGTTTCCTAAGCACCCACATGATGCTGGGGGTTCTGTGGAGGCGGACAGCGCACCCTGGGGGAGCTGGTACTTCTAACTCTGTCAGGGACATTACACGGGTCATGGGCGAAGAGAGGAGACGCCCAGAAGTACTGTTTGAGGGTAGGTCTCCCTGACCACATGGCAGTTGCTTGCAAAGAAATGAGAGAGCCAAGCCGTGTGGGGTGTGGGGGGTCAAGTGGAGGGGGGAGAAGGTCACTGTTGTAACCCAGGAGAATCAGCCTCACTCAGACACAAAGTAATTTTGAATATTAGGAGCTTTATTACCTGTGCAAGGACTGCAGCCAACCTACCCAGAGGAGAACTGCAGCCCCGAGCTCAGGGGGAGGGCTGCTTATAGAGGGCAGGGGTCACTCAAGAGCTCAGCAGAGCAAGCAAGCTGCGTGCACAGACGCGGAGGCAGTTAGCGATACGCAGGAGGGAAGGGAGGTGGGAGGGAGCTGAGACGAAAGGGAACTGGGTGAACTGGGTCAGCACACGTCTCTCCTGCTGTTCATCCTATTATCTAAGTTCTAAGAACTAACACATTCGCTTAGAGGACGCATTCACTTAGAGGAGTGCAGGCCGGCTGGTCCTTCCTCAGTCTGCCTCTGAGAGCTTCCTGGTTGGCCTTTTGTTTATTGAGTCAGGACGAGGTGCTAGGAGCAGGTTATTACAGTCACTGCGCGGAGCCTCGGCACTGAGATTGTGTGAGGACCCTGGGTGTCCATCCTGAGCGTCGTGCGAAGACACTGGAAGGGTCCATCAGTGCTGCACGTGCGCTGACCTCTTTCAAAGCTCATTCTAGTCCACACAGGCCTAGAACGAGGAACTCGGGAGCTGTTGTCCGGCACCCCAGGAGGTGACGGGTGTCTGGGCCAGGACACGGCGCTGGCGTAGGGAGGACCGGACCTTCCAGGATGGAGTGTGGAGTGAGCAGAGAGGGTCCGGGTCCTGCCCGTGTGAGCGAGGACACTGTTTACACGCAGACACTGCAATGAGGCAGCTTTGGGAGGAAAAGAGACACTTCTGTTTGGGGAAATTTCGGTGCATATCCAAGAGTCAAGTGTCTCGAATGTTGTCAAGTGTCTCGAATTCATGGAAAGAGGGTCACATTAGAGAATCAAAAGCATCAAAGGTTGCCGATATAGATGAAGTTTATCCCTGTGTATTGGGTAAAGAGGTAAATTCTAAAGACAAAATCCTGAAGTTGGAGAGAACATGGGATCCTGAGGGCAACGGATTTTTCTTCTGTTGTGTGGACGCACCGAGTGGGGACCGTTCACAGTCGAGAACGCCCGCCCGGCGCGGAGAGCGCGGGTCTGTGTGCCCAGTGTCCCGGGAGGGGCAGCTTCCCAGCCAGCAGGCGTCTTCAGACGGCCAGGTGAGATCACGCAGCCAAGGAGCACGAGGGGGCGGGGTTTGTCTATATCCTGCAGGAGGCTTAAGATAGAATCATATCAAATTGTTATCTTTTATCCGGCCGGTGGACTCAGTGGTTAGCGTGAACCCCTGCACCAAGAGGTCGCAGGTTAGATTCTCAGTCAGGACACTTGCCCAGGTTGTGGGCCCAATCCCCACTGGGGGGCGTGCAGGAGGCTTCTCTATCATCGATATCTTCTCCCTTCCTCTCTCTCTAAAATCAATGAAGGGAAAACATTATCATCTTTTCAGTCAGAGTTTTCAGTTATTTTTAAAGAAATGAAAAGGTGTGGTTTGCCTTGAGAGCCTAGGGCCGACCCTAAGGAAGAGAATGTCGTCTGACCAGTGACACCTTTATTTTGGTATTTCTTAGAGAGTCTGCCGTTAGGTGTTGGTATGATACTTCAAGAAATCTTCGCTGAGTTGAATTCATGACATTGCCTATTTTCCTTTCTTCCTGGGCCATGCTAATAACGTGGCAAATTAATGAGTATGTTTCCAGGCGGCCAGATCCAAGTGAATATGTCAGGGACCCAGAGTCGATGTTTCAGCCAAGTGGAAGGCAGGCCAGGGGAGGTAGGAGGCAGGTACCTCCACTGTGGAGCGGCGTGCGAGGTGAGGGGAACGGGGGCACGGGTCCCGCTTGCTGTGGGGTCGAGACCCCGGGGACCGAGGAGCGGAGGAGGGACGGAGAAAAGAATTGGACCGGAAAACATTAAGCGGAGGGTGGGTTGGACTGAACGTGCGCACGGAGGAGGACGTTAGCGTCCCGAGAACTTGACGAGGATGGGGTGGACCAGACGCAGCGCCGATGCCGTTCGTTCAGGAATATTACTGTGGCTTCGCCTACTCCTCGTAACTACACTCACCCTCCAGTTCTGGATTCCCCACCGCGTGCTGCCCCGCGGCCCGCTGGTGCGAATAAATAAACACCGTGCCTATTGGTTGTCGGAGAGGCAAAACACAGATGCTCTGGTGGGCTGCAGAGTTCGGGGGTGAGTTCGTGTCCTGAGATGAAGAGGGTGAAAGTCACTCTCTGGGACCCACTGGGTGGCACGGTGTGACTCAGGCTGGGCAGTCCCCGCGGGGGACAGGCAGGAGGTCAGCACACCCTCCCACTCCCCCATCTCTGAGCTCTCCACCCACGGAAACTCGGACTGCGTGGGCCAGAGCCAGGACCGTCAGGGTGGCTGGTGCCCGACCCCGATCGCGGACGCTGGGTCCGTGGGCTCCGAGGACAAGGCCAGCCCGGAACCGCAGCTCTGGGTGGTTCCGACGTTTGGGATGCTCGGTCCCCAGGGGCAGCCGTTCGCCGAGCTGTTTCCTTCTCCTGCACTGAAGGCCCTTCCGTCCTCGGCGCTCCACCGCTTCCGGCCGCCGGGAGAGTGGCTTCCGTCACGTTCACCGGCACCTGGCGCGGGGACCGGAAACAGGCGGGGCCACGTCCGCGGCTCCACCGCTAGGCTGGGGGCACGTGGCTGTGGCGCTCGCCCAAGCGCCGCCGCCGTGGCGTCCACTGGGACCTTGTGCCCACGTCTCGGTCACCAGCGGTGCTTTGAGAGGAGGACAGGGACTGATGCTAGCGATTGGAAGTAGTAGAATAATTTTATACTGTTAAAGCGACAACTTGGAAATGGTCACTTTATTTTATCTTATGTCTATTTTAAAACCACCAAAATGTGTGCATTTGTTGGGGGAGCTGATAGTTTGAAGGAATATGATATGATTCACTTACCAGTTACAACGTGGTTTGGAAAAGAATGCGATGTTCTGTCCAGCTGGTGTGGCTCAGTGGTTGAGCACCGACCCTGCACCAAGAGGTCGCCGGTTCAATCCCCAGACAGGGCACGTGCCCAGGTTGTGGGCCTGATCCCCAGTGGGGGGCGTGCAGGAGGCGGCCAACTGATGTTCTCTCTCATCGATGTTTCTATCTCCCTCTCCTTCTCCCTTCCTCTCTCTCTAAAATCAATAAAGAAAAAAAAAAACTTATAAAAAAATAAAGAATGTGATGTATTGATTCACGTTTAATAACAGCATTTCTTTGTCTTGCTGGAGAAGTTCTGAGTGTCACCCGAATGCTCACAAGCCTGCTCTCTGCCGCCCTGTCTCAGAGTACGACCTGGAGCCCTGTGAGGACCCGGGCGTCCCTGCCTTCAGCCGAAGAATCGGTTTTCAGTTCGGAGTCGGGGACACGCTGACCTTCTCCTGCTTCCCGGGGTATCGCTTAGAAGGTGCCACCAAGCTTACGTGCCTGGGTGGGGGCCGCCGTGTGTGGAGTGCCCCTCTGCCAAGGTGTGTGGGTAGGTGGTCACACGCTTTCATTTCATTCATCCGGGGGAGCAGGGCCCGGCGCACCGGGAGGCGGGCGCGGGCGGGCGCGGGCCAGGGACCACTGGGCTGTGGGGCCTCCTGCTGCGGGGTCTCACCTGGAGGCTCCGCGCCTCTCGGCTCTGAAGGTCACGGCCGAGGAGTGAGACTCAGTGTCAGTCACATTTATAGAGGGGAACAGGGGCGCTGGCAGCGGGAACCGCTGTCGTAACAGAGCCTTCGGCAGCTCCTCGAGTTAAAGCAGGGCTCTCTGCTGGGGCAGGGGTGGCAGCGATGGAAAAGCTGCAGTTTCTCGGTGTCTCCAGGCCAGGCTGCCGACTCTGGCTCGTCCCTGCAAAGTGGGAAGGGCAGAAATCGGGATGCTGAGCTAGCTTCACCAGTGTGTTCTCGCGGGGCATCGGGAGGCGCTTCCAGAGACTGATGGGAACTCTTTCCGGGGCTTAGAAATGAGGCACTGTGCCAACGGGGCATGATCAGGGTGGGATCAGGTGTGTGATCAGGGTGTGATGTAATCAGGATGGGACCAGTGGTAGGATCAGGGTAGGATCCAGTGGTGGGATCCAGGGTTGGGATCAGGGTGGGATCCAGTGGTGGGATCCAGGGTTGGGATCAGGGTGGGATCCAGTGGTGGGATCCAGGGTTGGGATCAGGGTGGGATCCAGTGGTGGGATCCAGGGTTGGGATCAGGATGGGATCCAGTGATGGGATCAGTGGTGGGACCCAGTAGTAGGATCAGGCTGGGATCCAGTGGTGAGATCAGTGATATGATCAGGGTAGGATCCCGTGGTGGGATCCATTGGGGTTGTATCACTATTACTCTGAGAACTGGGCACCTATAAGGAGCAACATGAAATCAGGGGGGCTGCAGGGCTAAAATAGGGCATTTTGGCTGCACATCTAGAGGGTCTGGGCCTCAGCCCCAGAGACAACGTTGCCCACCTGCCACTCAGCCTCGCTGCCCTGCAGGGAGGCTGCTCCATCTGTTCACCAAGTTCGCAGGAAGCTGCCTGATGCATTTTGCCGGTGGTCGGGAGATGAGCTGTGATTCTCCCTGTGGGACCTCTGAGCCCGAGGGCATCCCAGTGCCTTCTATGCCAGGCTCACCAGTGGATAGCCAGAGGCTGCTGGGCACTTTGGAAAATAAGAGTTCTTAATCCTCCAAATAGTAAATTGTTAGCTTAGTGAAACCAGATTTTTTTTTCTATGACCAGGAATCTCCTTAACTGTTAGCGTTATTTAGGGATATCCTGTGATTCAAAGGTAGCACAGTCTTTCTGTTTCAATGAAGGACAGATTCTCAGGACTTCGTCATAGAGCAACTTTAACAGGTGAACACGGATGGAACGACCTTTCTCACTCGCCTGGGCACATCTGCACGTTTCTGGTATCTGGTGTTCTCCAAAATAGTGCTTCTTACCTTTTTCTTTTTGTGGTTTTCATTTTCACTTGAGAATTGTACGAACATTTTGAAAACTTCCGCAGGGGAAAAATATGCAACACTTTAGAGATGACCCTAGGAGCTCCCTGAACCCTGGGATCCATGCGCCCCAGGTTGGAAGTTACTAAACACGCAGCTAAGATCTGAAGGAAACTCTCCACTCAATTAAGTCTGAGTGTCATTCTGCAGGTTCAGCCTCGAGCAGTCTACTGAGTACAGTATCCCATCGGCCGTTATTCTATTTCATCCAGATTTATTACCTTTACACTCTTATTCTGGTAATTTGGGTTGTTATACTGTTGCCGAAACATAAAATGAGAAGTAGCTGGGGTTGAAATAACAGTTAACATTATTGAGCCCGAACTCGGGACAGACTGTGCTCTGAGCTATTACATGTATCAGCTGCTATCACCTCCGGCCAGCTCCGGTGAGACCACTCAGAGGTTCTCCCTGGCAGCACTTTTCTCGGGAGTGCCCCCTAAAGACACACTGGGGCTCCTCACAGGACCGCCATGGTTACCCCAGAGTGGCAGAGCGCTCCCACATTTGGGTTTAGGATGTGTGGCCTGGCCACTGTATTCAGTCAATTGCCCCTATGTGTCCCAACGCTCCTCCATCCACTTGACCCTGTTTGGTCAAGAAAGAAGACCAGTCTCCTCCTGATGGGCAGATGGTGACCAGAGGGGGCTGGACCCTCAGAACTCCTTCACCTCTTGCCACTGGAGGAGGATTGTACACAACATGGCTTGTGTTTCACTGTGGATGTCTGATGTACAGTGCTCAGGGGATGGGAGGTGGTCCGATAATGAAAACCAGAGCACAGCCACGCAATGCAGCCACGCAGAACAGCCCCATGCATAGCCATGTGCACAGACACATGCACAGCCACACAGCACAGCCACATGCACAGCCACATGCACAGCCACGCAATGCAGCCACGCAGAACAGCCCCGTGCATAGCCATGTGCACAGACACATGCACAGCCACACAGCACAGCCACATGCACAGCCACATGCACAGCCACGCAATGCAGCCACACAGAACAGCCCCGTGCATAGCCATGTGCACAGCCACATGCAGCACAACCACATACACAGCCACACAGCACAGCCACATACACAGCCACAGAGCAAGGCCACGTGCACAGCCATGCAGCACAGCCACATGCACAGCCACGCAGCTCAGCCACACGGCCATTGGCAATTCCCTCATACTAAGAACAGTCTGCTGGCTATTCTATCAGTGCCTTTTATACCTTCAATGGCAAGACATTTTCTTTCAAACTTTAAAAGTATTGAAAAAGAGGACCTAAATTTGATTTTTGAATGGTTTTCTTTATTGATCACTGTCAAATTCAATTTTAAATAAAAAGTCCTACTGTTTGGGACTAGGTTCCATATTCTGGTTGTCAGGACTCAGTGAGTTTCTCCTTCCTTCCCCTTTATGTCCGGTACTTGATGGGTCAGACCCTGTGTTCCCTCCGCACCACAGTCAAGGGGGTACTCTGCTCTGCCATTTCAATGTCTTTCCTTTGTTTTGGCTTCTGAGTTAAAGACGCCCTCCTTCTTCAGGAGAGAAAAGGGTAAAAATAGCATTTAATCCTTTTAAATACTCTTTAGTATTTAACCAGGCCCATGAATCATTACCATTTCCCAAGAAGATCTTCCCCAAGCATGTTGAGTTGAAGCTACGAAGCCACATTTCTTCAATCTCAGATTGTCTGAGCATCATCTGACGGCCGATGGGGGAGGGACAGTCTCTGTCCAAGGGCCCGAGCCCTGGGCTGAGGGCAGGTGCCCAGACGTGAGCTCGGGCTCCAGAGCCCTGCTGTTCCTCCCATCAGTGTTTTCTAAAGAGTGTTGTTATGATTGTGCACGTTTATACATATAATACAGCTATTGCCTTAATTTTGTTGTTGTTAATCCTCACCTGAGGATTGTCCCCATTGATTCTTAGAGAGAATGGAAGGGAGGGAGGAAGGGAGGGAGGAAAAGAACATTGATGTGAGAGAGACACATTGATTGGTTGCCTCCCACGGGACCTGGACCAGGGCCAGGGCTCAAGCCTGCAACCTAAGTACGTGCCCTTGACCAGGAACTTAACACGAGACCCTTCCATCCTCCAAATGCTCTAAATGCTGAGCCAAACTGTCCAGGGCTAGAGCCATAGTTTTGAACAGTTGTTATAAAATCCCTTTGCCTTTTTTGGGGTAACCAATTTCCAGAGGTTCCTGGTCAACCCCTGCCCCCGTTCCGTGAGGAAGGCTGCCTGTGTGTCTCGTGTCAGGAGAGGTGAGGGGCAGGAGCTCACGTCCTTTCTTCCTGGACTCTGGCCCAGCCCTTGCACATGAGGACATTGCGAGGTGCCGGTGCACAAATCCAAGGGCTGGTCGTCCCTCTCCAGCCCGTTCCCTCCAGCCGCGGGGGGAGTCACAGCTCCTGGGGACGCCGATTTTAATTGTCAGAGAAGCCACATGACAAAAGCCAGCATGCAGAGGATGCCAGTCACATCACCCCTCACAGGACCCCCCACACGACCTGCTCTAAAATTAATCAGCGCCCCCCCCCCCCATTGCACGTGTGCATTTCCCAGATGTTCAGTCCCAACGTGATCACCATTCGGCAGCGCCTGGTGGTCTTTGGAAATCACTGTGCTTGGCACGTAGCGTGGCCAATGTGCTGTGTGATGAGAATTCCACGGAGCTGTCTTGTCCCCCATAAGAACATACGCACGTGCCCAAGGACGCACACACCTGCACAGGTGCGCCCACATGCACACATCTAGCCGCTTTACCTTTGTGGGATCAGTTTGCGCTCAGAATCTTGGAGCTGCGGGAGTTCTAACCTAACATGCCCCCCCTCGTGGGCAACAAAGCCCATGAGGGTTCAGAGGCCTTCTCCAGGGGGTCGGATAGCCGAGAGCGGTGGCCACGTTTGCCTTGATGGAAGGTGGTTCTGTTGGAATTTGGACTCTCCCTTCGTCAGGACAAGGGCAGGGGACCAACTTCCATCCCCAGATGCATTGCAGGAGAGCTCAGGGGATGCCACAGGCAGAAACATAGGGAAAGTGCACCAAGGACGAGAGGTGGGGACGTGGGGCAGGAGCGGCCAGGACAGGGGACATGCCCCGCGAGGCGGCAGGCGCCGGGGCTGTTCCGGAACTCTCCGTGGGAGGACAGGCTGCCTCCGCGCCTCAGGGACACCCTGTTAGGAGGAATCAGAGAACCTTGGAAATGGGTATCTCTCCTGCCCAGGTGCTGAAACAGCAAAAGAAAGCCACGCATCTATAAAAGCAGTGTGCTGGGACAGACACATTGAGAGAGGCGAGGGGCCGTGGGTGCAAAATGCTGGTCTATTGAAATCGGTGACTCCGGTCTGAACCCTCTCTCCTCTTCCACGTCCTGTTTGTTTTAGCCGAATGTGGGGCCAGCGTGCGAGGAAATGAAGGGACGTTGCTGTCGCCCCACTTCCCCTCCAACTACGACAACAACCACGAGTGCATCTACAAGGTGGAGACAGAGACGGGCAAGGGGATCCGCCTCCGGGCCCTCAGCTTCCAGCTCCTCGAGGGGGACACGCTGAAGGTGAGCGGGCTGCTCTCCTGTGACATCCCTGCCCCCAGGGACCGCGGCAGCTGCCCCCACGCACAGCTGGGCGGAGATGTGCACGGAAAGTGCTATATTCTCGTACTTACCCGTTTCCAGTCTGTGTCTCCAGCGGGCCGAGTGGAGCGGACTTCGGGCCGCCTTAGGTCCTGGGTCTAACGTCACCCGTTACCTGTCCTGGGGCACAGATTGAGCACTTCTGAGCCTTAGGTCCCAGACGTGTGAGCACGCGCGATGGCGCCTGCTTCCCGGGCTGTTGGGAGGGCTGAGAGGTGGGCGAGTGTGTGTCTCCAGCACCTGCGAGCGCACAGTGCCTGTGGCAGCCTGCCGGCCCCAAACCAGCCCCGTTGCACATGTGGCCTCAGCCTCAGAGCCACAGGGACGTCGCTGTGGTCGTGGAAACGAGCTGAGCCACTGTCCCCGCGAAGCAGGGCTCCCGGGGAGAAGCCCGTGGGGATGGGACACGGTCTCCGTGAAGCCAAGGACACCAGGCGTGCAGAGGGCCAGACAGGCTCCACGCATCACGTGGTGCCAGGTGTCAGCTGCTCCCTGACCTGTGCCCCCCACCAGCCGTGTGCTACCTGGGGTGCGTGCAGGGAAGCAGGGAGCCCCAGGCAGCGTGAACACATGTGAACACACGTAACATGGTCCGAGCCCTCGTGAGATCTTCCGTCTTTAGCATTCACGGTGAAGGAGCAAAGGGACAGTGTGGCCAGCCTGTCCCCTGGTCCGCTTTCTGCACACTGAGCCTTTAAAGTCTCGTGTAAAATCCCCTGTGAGGACTCGAACTTCTCCTCAAAGCTGCTGAGTTGACAGCGCCGTGGGGTGACAGGGCCTCACCTGTCGCTGTGAATTCCCACCAGGTGTACGACGGACGGGACAGTTCCTCGCGCCCACTGGGGACCTTCACGAGGAACGAGCTGATGGGCCTGGTCCTCAACAGCACCTCGAACCACCTGTGGCTGGAGTTCGCCTCCAACGGCTCGGACACCGACCAGGGCTTCCAGCTCACCTACACCAGTGAGTAGCCGGCGCCGCCTCTTTGTTCCTTTGCTCCGCACACGCCTGTGGCGCAGGGACAGGACGCACCCCGAGGGTTGTTCCTGGCTCCCTGCCGTGCTCCGGGCAGTGGTCAGACAGTCCTCACAGAGACGTTTCCGGAAGCAATAGTTGGAAATGTGTCTGTTTACAAGGAAAATATTTTTATAATAGAACGAATGAATATGAAAAGAGAGCATGACCTTAAGACAGCATGACCTTCTGGGGTTAAAGATGCTGACCTTGATGGAGTGGACATTGACGAAAACCCACATGGAAACTGTCCCATTGACTGACAGTGACAGGCTTTGACAGCTGCTATCACGCACCAGCACCTTTCTGTTACATGTTTCTATATGCATCGCATTCTATGTACTATAGGATACCTAACACACGTGTGTAATATATAATCCCATGTCCATACCAGCACACACACGTGTGCACACACACGCACACACGACCCTGGGCCGCCAGGTCTCACTTGTCATCACTCATGTCCCGCCGGGGAAGAGCGCAGACGGGCCAGGTGTCCGGACCCCGGGGTGGAGCCGGCACAGGACTTCAGCCTGCAGCTCGGTTCTCAGCAGCTGCCTGGGAATGGACCTCAGTGTGGACAGTGGTTTCTTGAGGTGAATATGAGGAAAACGGGGGTCACAATGAAGGAGAAGTGATCACGCTTTGGTTTTTGTTTTGTCTTTTTCATCCTCACTGGAGGAGGGAGGGAGAGAGAGAGACAGTGACGTGAGAGAAACATCGACTGGTCGCCTCCCGCACGACCCAACCAGGTCCGGGGTGAACCGCAACCAAGGCACATGCCCTTGGCCGGAATCAAACCCGCGGCTCATTGGTCCAAAGGGCGGCGCCCTAACCACTGAGCAAACCGGTCAGGGCAGTCATTGTGATTTGAAAAGGACAAGTTTGCGATATGATACCTGTCACTCTCCACATGTCCAGTCCCAAACAAATAGAGCAAAAGGAGCTTTTGGTGTGAATGTGAATAACTCCCTAAAATTAGGTAATCGATTAACTAAACATGTTTTAACTCTGCGAGGCAGTCCAATTCTTCAGTCTGCTGTTTAAAAACCTTTATGATGCCAAATACCATGATACAGAAAACAGAACATTTTGGGTTTAAAGCATAAATATACGTTAATGATCATCGAGTTACATGTCTCTGTTGGACAGATAAACAGGGTAACAGTTACCCCTGACGCAGAGCTAATCCAGGCCCTTGACAGCAAAGAAAGGGTCTCCAAGCCCACTCAGGAGGGGAATTACGGTTGAAGAAGTGTTTGGCTTTGGGGGAAAATCAGATTAAAGCCACAAATACCATGAGAGCAACCCATGTTTCACTTTCATAACAATGACTATTTAAAAGGCTCAGTGAATCGGAAGCTTATTAGTTCTATTGTACGCAAACCAAAATAGCAACTGGCATGAAATCAACGTGTAACTGTTCACTAGCGTTCCACTTGGTAGAGCTTCACCCCCGAGGAGAGTCTAAGGGGCTCGCGAGACCGCACTGGGTGGATTGCGTGATCTCTGGTTTCTTCCGAGTTGGAGTCACCATCCATATGTGTATTGGCTCGTTTGTCACTTGGCTGTGCGACCCCACCTCCTAGCTCGTACCCTCGTCTTAGACTCTCAGAGGCACATGGACGCTGAAGGAGACCGAGCGAACTCTGCTGACGTTCGAGCTGAGCATGGCCGATGGGGTTCCATGCTCACCTGCTTGCTCCCCGGCTCCCTGCTGCCTTCGCTCAGCTGCCCCGTTGTGCCTCCCGTCCGAGACAAACGCTGCTTTTATCACAGACGAGTCCGTTCTATCAGGTCATTCCCGGCTGACTCCCACCATGTCAACAGGAGCATCACCCGTAAGCTCCCTGAGGCCGGGGACAATGCTGCGCATTTTTTATTCCGCTGTCCACTTTGCACAGACGTCCGACCTGTCACGTGAAAAGCTCAGATCGGGTCATTGTTGCGCCAGCCGCGTTCTGTGGCGAACTGAGGCCCCGCAGACCTGCGGGCGACCGGGCGCCAGGGGCCACCGTAGTGAACAGGATGCTCTTCAGACAGCAGGAGACATCGCGTCGACAGGGCATCGCCAAGTCTTCTAAATATTTCCGCAAATATTTCCCCCCCGCCCCCCCAAAAAAAAGGATTCTGGGAATAAATCCTACATTGAATTCAGAGTTTACTGAGAAACAGGTTGCCCTTCCTAGAATTTCACAGGACCATTCCCGGAATGTTACTGTCCGGAAGCGGGGGGTTTGGGAGGGTTTGGGGACAAGACAGGCTTCCTGGATTAACAGGCTTAGTTAATTGCATCGACAAACCCTCCTTCACAGTTCACCTAGAGACGTGCTCCCTGAGGGCGTCAGAGACAGTCGCTGCTCCCTCTGACGGGTCTGCCTTCCAAGGAATCACTGATCACGCGTGTAGCATGTGTGACGTGTGTCGTGAATGGTAGGCTCTGTGGGTGCAGGTGACCGACTGTCCATGGGAAGGTGATGTCACATTGTCCCCACCAAGGGGCAGTCTGCAGGTGGCTGCATGGGGCTCCGTTCACGCCCTGACGCAGAGTCCCGGCCCCACCCTGTGACCTGCTTCAGGACCCTGGACAGAAACCCCCACCTCGCTCCACAGCTGTTACTGTGGCTACAGCATGGCCCCCATCTGTCCCTCTGTCCCTAGCCACTTCACCAGTTTCCGGCCAGCAGAGGGCGGAGGGGTTCAGGTGGCGTGATCGACAGCGGATCTGAACCAACCACAGCAGCCGTGCCCATCCCTCTTCACCCCAACTAATCACTGAAGTTCTGCAGCACACACAGTGTATTCTGTTTTTTGCCAGCATGACAAAAAAATATATATTTTGATTGATTTACCAAAAAAAAAATGATAATAATAGTAATTACCCAGCCCTTTTGCTCCAAAGTGGCTTTCAAAAAAAAAATCTATGCACGTAAAGATTTCGGGTCCCGAGAATTAACCAACAGACACAAAATTACTCTGCGACCTGGACAAGGTGCAGCCCCCTTACCTGATCTGTGCATCTAGGGTTCGAGACAGAGCAGTAACGCTGCCGGCTGCTGTTGCGTCGGCTGTTGTCGTTTTCCCTCGACAATCTGAGGGCAGAGCGGCCAGTGCCCCCAAATAGTCCTATTGTGTGTCTTAAAAATTCTCATGGTTGCCGGGCCGGTGTGGCTCAGGGGCTGAGCGCCGACCCTGCACCAAGAGGTCGCTGGTGATTCCCGGGCAGGGTTCATGTCCAGGTTGTGGGCCCGATCCCCAGTGGGGGGCCAGTTTATGTTCTCTCTCATCATGTTTCTATCTCTCTCTCCCTCTCCCTTCCTCTCTCTCTCAAACCAATAAAGAAAAAAAAAATTAAAAACAAAACAACGATTCTCCCATGAATTCTTACCAAGTACAACATAGCAATTCTCAGCTATGAAGAGAGAAAAAAAAGCTAAGAGCAAATTTCCAACAGGCTTCACACTGACACTGTGCGAAGACGTGTCTAGTAGGTGCAAGTGGAGCCCGCCCAGGACTGGTGCGCACAGCGCGGGATTCCGAGGAGAGGGGGCCTCAGTCCCGGCGTGAGGACCACAGCGTGTGCAGTGCGGCCCCGTGGTCCGAGACCTGTTCTATCGCCGTAGCAGGACGCAGCCATCCATTTCTATAAGCTCACGCCTGCCCGTAAGGATTCTGAAAACGGCATTTTCCTCTGCGTCTGCGAGGAAGCAGCGCCGGTAGCATCGGGCTGTGTGTTACGCTCTTCAGCACAGAATGAGTTTCGGTGGGGAGATCACAGGGGAACAGGCCGCCCAGGTAATTCGGGGACAGCGGGGAGGCAGGCTGCCCGGAGGTCCCCGGAAGGAGCGCTGTGTTTCTTGTAAAACAAGACGGACGTTTCATAAAGGGGAAGGTGCCGCCGGCTCTGGGAAGGCCACCCAGAAACCCAGCCCCCCGCTCCCAATCCCAACGCACAGTTCATGGTTGGCACTAGAAAATCATATTCTTCTTTTTTTAAAATAATTGATTTTAGAGAGAGGGGAAGAGAGAAGTAGGGAGAAAGAGAGAAGCATCCATGTGAGAGTAAAGCATCAACCAGTTGCCTCCCATATGTGTCCTGACCAGGGACCGAACCTGCCGCCCTGCAGTGCTTGGGACGACGCTCAGATCTACTGGGCCACACTGGCCAGGGAGAAAATTATGTCCTTATGTGTACTCTCGTAGGTAAACAGCAAAATACATATTCAATTATTGTGAAATAATTACTAAGTAAGCATTTCAGAAAACACTGATAAGAAGAGAGCCCACCTGTTGAAGTCCAGCAGGAAACAGCGAGACTCAGGGACATGAAAAACCAGTAAGGCCACTGGGAGCGGTCAGCGTGCACTGGGCGGACTCGGGGGAGACGGGGGCCGTGCCTGAGGCCATTCAGCCTCAGGTGCCAGGGTGACCTCTGCCTGCCAGGCGTTCTCTTCATGGTGCCCGAGCGGGGAGGGGGAGCCCTCCTGGTCTGTCACCTGGTTCCATCCCTGGGCTCACCGAGCGTGTTCTGCTTCTGTGATAAGCAGTTGGGTTGGACACAGTCATGAAACTCCGTGAAAATGGGAAACTCGGGGCATATTTTAGTGTCAGAAGGGGTGCCCGTTTTCCTTTCGATGATGTCGAGAGCGCTCACCTGTCACCTACAGGTGCCAGCCGCGTAGGAGGCTCGGGCGAGGGGTCTGCGGGACTCGGAGCTGGGCTGGTCCTCTGCTCAGGACCAGACTCGGTGACAGTTTGGTGACCTGGGGCACCGGAGACGGTGGTTTGTAGTGGGGGAGCCGCAGGGCTTTCTTTTCGGGGGACGGGGTTTCGCCGTCACTGGCAGCTGGTGAGGGGTCGGTTTGCTGCGACAGGACCACGCGTGGCGGACGGGGCTGAAGATGGAGTCTGCTCTCGGACATTCCTGATCCAGTCCTGACGCACTGAGG